CTTTCCACTACTTCCGCCTCCGTCAGCGCAGCCGGGCGGCGGCTGCAGGCGATGCGGGGCTGCCCCCCTGCGGCCTCGCGCTACGGCCTCGCGACCGGCCACCCCATCGCGCTGAGCCCCGACCTCGTCCTCGACCCCGCCGCCGCCTCTGGCACCACATTCGAGCAGGAGCTGCGGTGCCTGTTCAAGAAGTACGATACCAAGAAGCTGGGGTACCTCGATCGCGAGGATTTCAAACGGGTCTACGCGAGTCTGGAGAATTACGGGCTGGAGCCCTCACCGGCGGATATCGAACGCCAGTTTACGCGCTACAGCAAGTCCTCCAAGAAGATTTTCTTTGATGAGTTTTGCGTGTTGATGCTTCAGCGTGTGCATATGTAGATTTTTTTTTTCAGTTTATAGCTTTAAGAGGTTTTTTTTTAGTACTTCTTTCTGCCTGTTGGTGGTATCTCCTTGACTATCGATAAATGCAAGGATATATGCTTGCTGAGGGGAATGTTTCCCGTCTTGTGTGTGTCCTTGTTTGGTTTCTGATTCGGTGCTTTTATGTACATATGATGATGAAAGTTAAAACAAATGACTATACCTCAGGAAGGAAGTTTCGTGATCTTGATCGGACTATTGTTACTTTCGTGAATGTAGTCTTAGTGATTTTTTTTTTATCCGTAGGAAAAAAGAATGTGGACAGCTGCTCTGACAATTTTTTTTATACTCTCTGTTCGAATTTCCCCAAAGAAAAAACATATTTACATGCATGTATATGTATATGCATATGTATATCTATATCTATATATGTAGATATAGATATAGATATAGATATATATACATAGTCGGAAAAATAGTGTAATTTCTATTAAAGTTCCAAGTTATGAATGGTTGGTTTCTTTCATTCTAAACATGAGACTTATTTTTCTTCTCGCTGTAACTTGTTTTTCTTGTTTCGCATCATCTGCTAGGGACACTGTATTAGATTCTATTCCTGTCGTTTTATCAGTTTTGGCGAGGTGTCTCATTGCGGTTTTTCTAGCCGATTTTTTTAAAGTACAACGTATTGAAAGTCGGCTATAGTTATTGCTTTTCGATTTTTAATCGGATTTTAACACAGTGTAGGTCTTTTTCTTTAGAAGGATGGTTTTCAACTCCTCTTTTGGCGCTCTATATTCATTAGTTCGACAAGTGCTATCCCCTCTGCTTCTTTCCAATTACGAAATCCTTTAATCAGGAACTCTATATTGAAGATACTTCAGTCTTTCACGGTCTACCATCCGCCTTGGGCATTAATTTTCTTCATCATTGGGAATATAGAAAACACGTGAATAGTAAAGATGAAGCAAAATTATATATAATAGGAGAAAGAACGTGTGAGTGCATTTCACTACCTGTTGATTCATCGATTCTTTTCGATCTAGATAGTGCCATGTATGTTACGAAATGCCTTGTTTATTTTCATTTGATTCGAAGATAGACGGAGTCTATGTAAGTTGAGTCGTTAAATGGTAAATCAAAGAATTAATTTACCATGATACTCTCTGAGTAGTATCCTATGGACCCCAACCACTTTGGTGTAAAACATGTATTCGGGTGCCCGCATACCAAGGACAACAACATTCTCTTTCTCCTCTCTTCAACGAACGGCATAAATGGACTTTGGACTCCATGGGCGATCGCGTCCGCGGAGAAGGGTGCAATTTATCGTACGAACTGTCCAAAAATGTACCTGAGAGTGTGAATGTTTCTTCGGCATATTTCGTAAGTCCTAAGGTCGCGAATTACAAGTGCCATCAGCCCAATGATGGTGAGGGCTGGCATCCGTACAACCACAGGTGATACCCCAAAGGATGTAGATCCGTGCACCGGATCTAAAGCTGTCTATAGTTCCCAAGCGGGATCGCATTCCAGAGGCATAGTGCATACCGTCTATAGAAACCCAGCAGACTATGAGGCATTGCGAAAGACTCCCCCGCCTCAAGCGGCACAAGCTGCTAAGTTCGTGTGTGGAGTGAATTGGGGAGAGGAGGTTCCCAGTGCGACCACTGCCCCAATTTTGAGCTGACATCAATTTCACCGTCTTTTGTGCAGGCCTTCCTCCGGAACGCTTTCAGAGACGCAAGAAGCGTGTGCACTCTGTTTCGTAGTCTTCGTTCGCGTTTCACCTTGAACAGACTAAGAGTGTGCAGCTTATTGAAGCCGCATATACGCCTGTATCTGCGGTCGACCGCTCGCAATCTTTGTTGGCAGCGTACCGAAACACTTCGCTGTCAATCCAACGAGCTCAAATTTATAGGCGACGTCGCAAGAGCCCTCTCAAATTATGCCGCGGAGTTTCCATTGAACATCGCTCCTGTAGCTTTTTCTGCCGTTCTAGCCCCGGCAAATGACCAGAATATCTTTTATTATAGTTAGCGTGATACTGAAAAGTATGGATTCGTGGGATACTCCATGAAAACCGCTTCTGTGATCCTGGGGAGGCTTTTTCACTGTGTTCGTTCCCTTTTCCTTTATTTCCAGTTTTTTTTAGTTTTTCATTTTCCCGTTTTCCTTGAAAATTAATCCAAAGCAGTGAAAGTTGTGTTTGCATTAAGGTGAAACACTACAAAAATATTCCCAGATGTGCATCATCCCTTTGGTTGTCGTTCCAAAACATATTTATATGCAATGAAACTAGAACTTGCATTTACCTATTGAATCTGTGGTGGTTTTTATTCTTCGATATTCGGTTATATGCTTATGTGATTCCTACTACGCGTTTTAAAAAGCTTGCTATATCTTTTAATAGGCTCTGTGCCTGGCTGCTGTTCCTTTTCTTTTTATCCGGAGCACAAGAATAAAGCAATCCATAAATTATTCTTGTTCATAATAAATATTGACAATTTTCCACTCCTCTCCTTTCTTTATAGTCTTGAGTAATTTCATACATTATTTGATGTGTGAATCCAGTTTGGAAGGTGAGCATATTCTTGCCTTTAGAACTGTTCATTTATTTCTCTTTACATCATGGCTACCAAAATGTCCTTCCAGAGTTGAATATATGTATAGAAGTATGTATAGAAACATCATCTTCTTTTCCTTGATTAATGTTGTCATTAAGACTAATGATCTACTTCCATAACTTCCTCTTTTCTTACTCTGGGAGTACCTCATTGAGGTAGCGATAAACGCATTAAAGGGGTTGTAATGGGAGAGAGTGTTCATTCGCTGGCTTCTTGTACCAATGAGCTCTTCTTAAAAGGGTTTAAACAATGTTCTAGTCTAAATAAGTTATTGGTTTCTGAAACTTTATATTTCGTGTTTTATACTATAAACCTGTTATATTACTCAAACACGTTTTTATAAACTTTTTTCTTACATAGCTTTATATGATATTCAAGACCAGACTAATGTCTTTGAATGTTTCAAATATTACTGATTCTGTCATCAGTTTATTTTAGTGTTTAGATGTATGCATTACTTTATTTTTTTAATGAATATACTTTCTTTTGTTATCTCCGATATTTCCATGTGAAACGGGCTATAGTTGTTCCATTATCTATTGTTTGGCATGGGTAAAAATAAGATAAATAAATAAGTACTGTAGGAACTGGGTCGTTGATATTTTTTTTTTACCAAGCCTTCAACTTCTACAGACGAATAGTGGAGAAATGATTTCACTCGCTTTTAGACAATTATGTAATATATATATATTTGCATTATGTTTCTGTAATGTTACGATGCAATTGTATCAATCTTTACCTCTCTGCCAACTAGATATGAGTCCTGACTGTCATAGTTACGCCGTATTTTCTCACTTCTTTACATTTCCTTTTACTAATGTAAAGTATGATTAAATCACTTTATTAAGAAAAAACAATCAAACAAGTTCACAAAAATGCATGTGGTTCTGTATGAATAAAAAAGTACAAACAACAAAGAAGCCACTATTTTCGATGCTAGGAATACCCACTTATCAGAATCTCGATTCTTCCGATGATGCTTATTGCATGCGTATTAGAAAACTTCATTTACCGCTTCTTCATAAAATTTCTTCTTGTTAACTATTTCAACCTATTTTTTTTTCTTCATCTTCATTCGACTTTCAGGTGCTGTTGTACTTGGAAATTTAGTTAAGCGCATGATCTAGAAATAGAGTTGTCATGAAATACTAGCAGCTTTATACTTTTCATGGATTAGTATGATTTTTTTTACATTTTACTGGGTATTGTTTTTTTATATTTCATGTTATTTCCTAAGAAATTCAGAAATACAAGTTTCTTTAAACAAACATTTTACCTTTATCTAAGCAACTTTCAAAGCTGTGATAATATGAAATATGATTCTGATACGCTTAAACACGATGAATGTAATCGTTTTTTAGTCATCATGCACACTAAATAACTTTGCTCCTGGTGCTTTCGCCCCATGGGGCTAGCAGTCATATATGTTTTTTATTTTTTTTTATCCATATCTTTTTCCTTTCTTATGGGAAGAGAGTTGTTCAAACTATCATTTTCTAGTAGAAACTTATATACACGTTGTCACGGTCACCCGGTTCGAGAGAAAATGTTTCACGTATCAAAACTAGAGGTGATCTTCATGTCCCTTCGTGATGTTGTCGTTTTGAGTGACAATGAGATGGTCATCACGGACATGAACAAACCGGCAGTAAATTTTTTTGGCTGGTCTGTGGATGAGGTGAAAGGGAAGAGTATCACCTTTCTCATTCCCACACACCCGCTTGATGTGCAGGATAGTCCAGTCACCCTCATGGCTCGCTTGGCGAGCGGAAAGGATGTGGTCGTCGTGATCCAAACCACACGAGACCCACATGGGGAGCTTGTGGCGTGGACCATTTTACCGATTTCCCTTCCTCATGTGTATGAATTTGGTGTGCACATGAACATTCGTGCAGCCTTGGCTCCTAAGCTATCCGTTTCTGATCTGAATTTTGAAGGGAGGCGTGTATTTGTTCGGGTCGATTTCAACGTGCCCTTTGACCAAAAAACGGGCCAGATCCGTGATGACAGCCGCATATGTGCAGCAATCCCTACAATTAAAAAAATTATGGGGGAGGGAGGCCGTGTTATTATCGGATCGCATTTAGGCAGGCCAAAGAAGCCCAACGAGGAACAATCCCTGAGGCGCATCCTACCACGCCTGAAAGAGCTTTTGGGCACGGAGGTTGGATTTGTCTCTGATGTATTTAAAGCAGGCGATGAGGTAAATAAAATGAAGAGCGGCGAAGTACTGCTCCTGGAGAATCTACGCTTTTTTAAGGGAGAGGACAGTAAGAAGCCGGAGGAACATAAAAGGATGTCCCTAGCTCTTGCTTCCTTCAGCGACATCTACGTCTGCGACGCCTTTGGTACGGTTCATCGTGTGTCAGCGAGCATGACTGGCATTCCGCGTGCACTGGGGGCGGGCGTCACGGGTTATCTGATCGAGAAGGAGATTAAGGCCATCAAGATGGTCATGCTCAACCCGGCACAACCCCTTGTAGCTGTGGTTGGTGGGTCAAAGGTATCTGACAAAATTAATGTGCTTGCCTCGATCTTTAACTTCGCTCGAACTGTTGTGATTGGAGGCTCCATGGCTTTCACCTTCCTGGAGGCCATGGGACATAACCTAAGCGCCAGCAAAGTGGAGCGCGTCATCAAGGAAAAAGGCTGCGTTGTGGATCTGCATGCCAAGGCACGCGAGCTTCTTGAGCTGGCCAAGAAAAAACATGTTCAAATCATTTTGCCAGTTGATCACAGTTGTGCAACTGGGTTCAGGGACGAAGAGCCACTGGTTACTAAGACTGCTGATGTCCCGCCGATGTACATGGCTCTCGATTACGGACCTAAAACGACTGAGCTAGCAGTCAAGGCAGTGAGGGAGGCCCGAACGTTGATTTGGAACGGCCCCGTTGGCGTATTTGAGTTTCCGAATTTTTCCTCCGGCACGATTGCTATTGCGGAGGCCGTCAAGGCAAATCGTGAGTTAGTTTCCATTGTTGGTGGCGGCGACACGGCAGCCTCGACACAAGACTACCGACCCTACATCACGCATGTAAGCACCGGTGGGGGGGCCTTTTTAGAGCTTCTGGAGGGGAGAGCGCTGCCTGGTTTGGTATGCTTAACAGCCAGGGCCTCTCCAAAACTCTAACTATATCATCATATATGTGATTATTGCTTCTTTGTGGGTTGACTTTAGATCTGTGACAACACCGAATTTGAAATACCACATCGGTTTTACTTCTTTTTTTCCCCCTGAGCAGAATATGTGAGCGCAAAATTATCGTACGCGCATATCCTGGGTGGTTTTTAATTGCATTTCTTTATGAATTATAACAAATCGGAAAAGTTCAGATGTCTAAGATGTCAGTGTTTGCCGAGGGGTTTTGCTTGATGCCGTACCATACGTTTCTTTAGGCTTAATCATGTTCTTTTCTTGGAGTATCGGATGTTTCTTTACCTTTTTTTTTTTGAAACCCAAAATACAGGCTTTCATAGGAAAAAATTAAAATCCATTTTGTAAGAAATATGCAGGCGATCAACCCATCTGATCCTCAGATAATAAAAGAATTTGATAGTCTAGCTGCGTGTGCTTCTTCTATCCATGCAGCCGACAGAGAAATCTCAGAGAAAAAAATTACTGAATTTCAGAATAATGTAGATCAACAAAGCGGATTTGTGGTACTTCTTCTACAAATTGCGGCAAGTGGCTCTCCCACAGCACCTTTCTGCTCTATTGTATTGAAGAATACTGTAAAACGGTGTTGGGACCCAAGCAGTGCAGAACATTGCATTCAAGATGTAGACAAATCCACTATTCGTGAGCTCATTATTGGTGTTATGCTTCAGGCAGAGGTGTCCGTCCAACGCAACCTGGCTGAGGCAATCTCGTTGATCGCAAACGTGGACTTCCCAGCGGCATGGCCCAATGCACTTGCAACCATTGTTCAAACCCTAGAGTCGGCTTCCTTGATTTCTGTCAAGTGTGCTGCCCTTTCCACAGCTCACAGCATCCTTGTTAAGTATCGCGAGAATGCAACAATGACTGAGACGTATGTTAAAGTTCTACGCGGCGTGTACGCCTCTTTCTCGCTGCCGCTCGTCAACGCCATGATGTCGCTTCTGGGCCCGATTGAACATGGGCCAACAGCTGAGGCCACGATGGCATGCAAAGGGTTTGCCGCTGCCGTTGAATGCATCCTGGACATTTCCGTTCTAGACATGACAGAGGAGCTTCTAGCTCACAATAAAACTCTTGTGAAAATGTTCTTGCGATGCCTCTCAGCACAAAATCCTGCACTGACGAGCAATCGTTATGACGGTGGTGCTCTAGTTGAGATGAAGTCCGTGGTGACTTTGTGTGTGAGTCACTTTATGAATGTCTTTGACCAGGATTTCGAAGACGAGGTCCCTGAGTTCCTAGAGATGGTTTGGAATATGCTGGCAAGTCCTCTTAGTGTAATGCCAGCTATGGATGATTTGGTTATTCAAGGGTTGGAGTTACTCTCGCGCGCTTGTGCGGGCATAGCGCAAAAATTCTTTGCGGATGAGGCGCGTGTCAACAGCCTATTAGAGAACGTTGTCATCCCGAACTTGATGCTCCGAGAGGAAGATGAGGATGTCTATCATACGGAGCCGGACGCTTACATCCAACGTGACATTGAGGGCTCAGACCTGCATACACGGCGCCGTGCCGCTGGAGAGCTGGTGCGGAGTCTGATGAAAAACGTGCCGAATCAGTCCCGTCCGTTACTTTCCAATGAGGTTAATCGGCTTCTTTTGGCAGGTCTCACGGACTGGAGGGCCAAGGACGCTGGCATTTACCTTGCCTCCTCGCTGGCGTTGGAGGGGCATCACGTCGACTCCAGCCGTGGTGTGTCACACCAGCAGCTAAGCAATATGATTCCGCTGTCGAGCTTTCTCTCGACCACTATCTTGCCTGAACTGGAATTTGGTATTTCCGCCATTAGTCCAGCTATCATCAAGGCAGATTGCATGCGGGTTGTGACCACTTTTCGAAATCATATTGATCCGACATTGATCCCTAAGCTCCTCGAGTCGCTGCCAAAATGGCTTTCCACAAACGACTGGGTGCTAATGTCGTACTCCGCGCACATGTGTGAACGCATGATGTTGGTGCAGTTTAAGCAACAGAATGTTGTGACAGAGGCAGTATTCAGACCGTTAGCCCTCACCGTCTTGCAAGCTCTGTGCGTTGCCATTCAGCAAACAGAGCAGCCTAATGCTTATATAGCTCGATGCCTCATGCGAATATTTTTGAAAGTTCCTGGCGCCATAGTTCCGTACGCTGGCGATGTCGTTGTGACACTGAATACCGTGATACAAAAGGGGTGTCGGAACCCCTCCAACCCGGTGTTCAACCATTGTGTGTTTGAAGTTCTCTCTAAATGTATTACTCTACAGCCGGATCAGGTACAGATATATGAGCATATACTATGGGATAGCATTCATTATATTCTGGCCAACGATGTACTTGAGTTTGTCCCTTATGTACTTCAGATACTTTCCCAGTTATTGCATTTGCATCCAGCTGGAGAGAAGGAGCCGCCAGAACACTATAGAGATCTCCTCGAGCCGCTTATGGAGCCAAGTTTGTACGAGCAGAAGGGTAATATCCCCGCGGCAGTGTGTCTTCTGACTGAGTTCATCGAACATTATCCAGAGTATGTCCACCAAACGGGAGGCACAGTGAAACTCCTTCACATTTTTCATTTTCTGGTACATCTTAAGAATTACGACCATGAGGGTCTCAACATACTCACCTCCCTTATGCTGTCATACCCGCATGATGTTATGGGTAATTACTTGTCTGCAGCCCTACAGGTGTTACTGCAGCGCTTGCAGACCGCCAAAACACCCAAATATGTGCGCATTTTGATAATTTTTCTATCCATCACCGTCTGTGTTCGAAGTGCAGAGGACTTGGTGCACCGGATGGAAGAGATTCAATATGGGCTTTTCTTCATGATATTGAGCAGGGTATGGCTGCCCAACATGCAGAAGATTACCGGCACCCTGGAGCGGAAAATCTGCGTCGTGGCGTTGGCCAAGCTATTGTGTGACAGTGAGTCTCTCCAACAAAATCCACAGATGTGGGCTGAAAGCGTGTTCAGTTGCTTGCGTATGATCCACGACACGGTTGAGGAGGATGATCGGTCTAGCTTCTCGCCCAGGGAAGTAACTTTGAATGATCTAACTCAAACACCAGATGAGGGCTTTACAAACGCGTTTTGTCCGCTTCAGGAGGCCGTGCGCAAACCTGTTGATGTTTGCCAGACTGTGACGGATGCTAACCAATACTTTAAGGAACATATCAAGGAGCTTTTAAGTGGTCGTGGGGCTCCTCTGATGAAGGTATTGCAGGAGTACCTCTCACCACAGTTGCTGGCACTAATCCAATAGATTAATACTACTTTGAGCGCTGGAAGAATGTACACATCATCAAAGGCATGGAGGGTAGGGGGTCTTGAATGGAATAGAGGTTGTGTTTCTTGCGTTAGTGGACGGCCAGGTGGCCGCTCTGCAGATCAGCAGCGAAGTGGAGCGGGGAGGAATCAAATTTATATTGATTTAGGCGTATTGCATCCATCGTAATAACTTAAATTTTTTTGTGCACAGATTAAGGGGTAGGGGGAGGGGGATGGGGAGGGAAAAGTGCAATATTGTCAAACATGATCGACCCATAGCGTAAGTAGAGCATTTATAAATAAACAACATAAAATTTATCTATTTTTGTTTTCACAGCCACATATGCTTATGCTTTACTGATAAGCAAATGCGAGTTCTCACACATGCATTCGCACGTTTATTTTTAATCTGACCCATTGTCTTCCTCATCTGTTTTGGTTAGATCGATTGAAGTGCGATTAAATGACATAAAGAACTATTGAAGCGAATTTAGTTTCCATCACAGCTTATTAAAGTTAATATTCTTACCTGTACGACTGGAAAATTATTTGCCCAATCACTAGGCCCGTTCTTTTTTCTTTCCTATTTAGCGTCTATCTTTCAGGAGGATGACAGTGATGCGCGAAGTAAGTGTTGCAATTAGCCATGAAGCAGGCTGGAGGTAAGCAAGCGGTCTCAGTTTTCCCTCCCTTATTCACTCAGTGTGGGTGGTATTTCCAAGAGATCATGTTACCCCACTTTTTGTGTTCCCTTCTTTTCTCTTCATGTAGAGCTTATACATACTATTCTTTTCGGTTGCAACGAATCCTTTGATAACACTGTCCGACACTAGTGTATTCACTGGGAGTGGAAAAAATGTCCACTCACGCAGGCTCTATTCCTGCAAAGTCACACTGCGCAAAATTGTAAGATGTTTTTTTTCGATCTGCTTAGTCATTACAGACGATGCTAAAATAGACATGCATGCTGGTAGAATGGAGGCATGGCTTCACTATAGGTTTAAACACTGATGAGTAAGTCCTTTTGCGAGATATTTCAGCATAGTGTTGAGACAAGCGCCCTTCATGTTCCTATTGCACGGTAGGTGTGTATTGTTCTCTTGAGTGGAATTGATGCTTGTTTATTCTTCTTGGATTTCTGTTACCAGTGACGTGCTCATTTCAGATTATTGTATCTTGAACATCACCACCATACTTGCAGTTGATGTGGAATAGTTACTGCATCAGGATTCGCAACTTTGGCGACGACACAACGCCATCCTGGGATATGTTACAAAGATCTCGAATCATTGGAATAATTGATTTTAATATGATAGGCTAAATAATCAATATAGCTTCGTTGTTTTGCTTGGATTGCCATTTAGACACCTGTTCTTGTGCTGCTTTCGTTGTAGAGAATTGCGCGTAGTACGCGTTTATGGTAACAAAGCGATCCCTGTTTTACAGTTACTTTCTAAATACCTATTTTATTTTTCTCCCGCACCCTCTTGAAGATTAATTTTCCCTATTTACAGTTTTTATTTTCACCCGCTGTGTGTAGCTGGCAACAACTCAGAGTTAAATCATCGATTTCCAATTGATTTTTTCGTAGTAAATTAGTCTTATTAATCAGGCAAATTTTTGATAATAATATTATTTATAAAATTGTGATCATTGTAGTTATTTGTGTATTTTAGAATGTCTATCTCCATAAATATTTCAGGGAAAATTTTTTCGGATGGTATAAAGCTGGGAAACAATAATGAGGTAGTGTCTGTGGATAGCACTCGTTTTCCTTCTTTAGCCAACGTGTCAAAGGGCATGGTTGTGCGCTCGATCAACGGTGTAGCTGTGTCCATGGCTCGAGATGAGCAGAAGCGCCACTGTGACTCCTCTGCCCCCTTGGCGGTTGGATTCACGACTCCCGCAAAAGATGAGTTTGATCTTTCCTCTGATGAGGATGTCGTTAATGAGAGGTTTCAGCCGGCGACATCTTTACCACCACTACCGCCTGAGTACAACAACACTTATGCGAAAAATAGTGCCGAAGTAGTTCTGGAAGCTGCCAAAAAGTGTTCTGGTGGTCGTTGTGTTATCATTATGCTAGAAGGTGCTAATCCAACTCTTCCGATTACTCTAGCTGCGGTGCATGCACAAATCGATGTTATGTACATTGACACCGTTGCTCGCATGAAGACACGCCAGCGGATGGAGGAGGCCGGCAACGTAATTAAGAAATCACTAGAGAAAGGCCTGTGGATTTACGTTGAGCAGGCGACTAAGTCAATTTCGTTGCTCCAAAAGTTGGAGGAATGTCTCAAGGAATTAGAGGCGCAGAAAAAGATCCATCCGAAATCTTGTGTCTTTTTGATGTGTGAGCCCCACCCGCATTTCCCCGAGGCATTGTTAAAGAAATCCGTGACACTGCGATGTTGCCTGCAAAGCGAAAACATTGCCGAGGTTAACCTTAAAGAAGATGTTATGGAGAGCAAGAAGCGTCTCAAGCTGATCCACGGGGAAGACTCAGTAACAGACGACAATGCAAAGGCACAGGCACCACAGTCGTATCCACAAGATCTTCCCGAGGTGAAGACTGCTAAGAAGAAGGTAAGAATATCCAGCGAGGTCAACATCATAAGTCTGGAAAAGAGTACCTTTCTAGAGATGAGTGCAAGTCCCCACATGGCATTGAACCGTAGTGCTGCTACTAGAGAGGGGCTCAACCTTGTTGCCAAGTATACCTTCGGCTCGAATGAGAAGTTTATTTCTTTATGTAAAGTACAAAATCATCGCTTTGCAGTCGGTACCGGCAGCGGTTACGTCGTGTTGCTTGATGGCGACGGCCTACCACTCATTCAGTTTAGACCACGAAAGGCTTGTGTGTGGGACATCAGCTTCGCCACGCAGTTTGATTTTGCAACTGCATGTGATGATGGTACAAGCACGATTTTCAACTACTCTTTGGTGGGGCATGAACTCATGGCAACCTCTGTGGCATCTTTTCAGAGCGATGTCTTCGCTGTCACGTACGCAAAAGAGAATGACGTAAATAGTCCAGTTCTGTCTGGTGGATTGAGCGCCACCATTTGTGTGTTGCACTCAGATAGGCAGAACAGTTCCTTTATCACTTCAGGCACGTCTATTCAAGCTATGTGCGCCACACGTCAGGGGCATGTTATCGTTGGTGGTGGTAACGGCGTATGCTCTCTCATTGACCCCACCTATTGCTTCATACTTGAATTCATCAACAAGCATAGCAAAAAGGTTCCAGCAGTTTCGAGCTTCGAAGATGTCGCGATCACTGGTGGGTTCGATCGTGTAATGCGAATGTGGGACATCCGAAACAGCTTCCGACAGATTTACGAAACCATTCTTCCCGGCGTTGTGACCGCGGTGGCCGTTAATCAGAAGTACGCGGCTGTGTGCAGCGGCCCTGATTTATTTGTATGGGATATGCGTCAGTTGGCTTCACCGCTGTCGGTGAAAAAAAATGCGTGGAAGGACTTGACTCGAGGATTGGTAATTGACGATAGCGTAGTCGTTACTGCTTCTGTAGATGGTGTGACTCGATTCTGGGAAATTCACTAAAAAAATGGTGAACTGGAAACAGGAAAAGTAAGAGCTTGTGGATGTGCATGTATCTTGTGATGCTTTGGATTTAGATCTTGATATTTAAGTTCTATTTCTTTTAACATCTATCACAGCATTCATTTAATGTAATTGTAACACCAATTACTTACGCTATTGTTTAATATTTTTTACAGGTTTTTCTTATGAATAAGAGAGCGAGATTCGTTTGCTCCACACTTCCACGTTAGGCGCATAAGGTCTAAGAGAATACATGACCTAATCGCTAAACAGATGTAAATAGAAATGGGAGGGGCCCTGTCGATTTTTGGATTGTGCAGTACAATTCTAATTTCGTGGAATTCATATCTGGAAGTTGTATCTGTGTGAGCACCAACAACCTACCCACGGGGTTCAAACTTTGGCTTTCCTCTCGCTTTCAGCTTATATCGATTTCTCATGTTTTACTTTCCATTTTCACTTACCAACTGATCCTAGGACAGGGGTGCATGTCTTGTTCTGATATTATCTACCATTTATGAATTTCATCTAATTGTTCAGTGGCTAAGGAACAAAGACGGGGTAAAGGGACATACACATACAAATATAGAAAAACACACACGCATATATATATATATATATACATATACATATATGCAGACTGTAGAGGCTTCACTCAAGGAGGGCAAATCATATGTTATTGAAAGCAACACTCGAACCGTTTGCAACATCAGCGCTGCTGTCAAGTTGCTGGAGGATTATGGTCTCTCTTTTGATATGTCCATAGTGGGCATTGACGTTATAGAGCAAATACTCATGACAGACCCATGGGTCTGTGGTGAATGCGGTAACTCCAATGAACCGCTGTGCCCACACTTCGGCAAGCCTCACCGACGCCGCCTCGTACTCATTGCTCAGGAGATTTTGCAGTGGGTCGGTCGGAAGGTGGGTAGGATGTGTAAAAGATCGGCACCTTTACGAGAGCGTGTTGATGGCGATGTCAAGATGCACACCGAGAGACGTGTTGTGATGAAACCACACTTGCTTCTTCTTGCTTTTTATCTCGCGCGGCTTGACACCGGAGAGGTTCCTGAGGCACTTGTCCAGTGCGCCCAGCACGTGTTGGACATGCTTCGACAGCTTCAGACTTATGGGAAACGTCTGGAATCCCAAATGAATGAGAGCTACTCGAAAAACTTGCTCAAATCATTCTCGAACGCGTGGCTTCAATACATAAAACTAGCTGAACACGAAGTGCCAAAGTTCAACTCACTGGAGCGGCGTGTCTTTTCGAATAGACTCTTCGATGGGACAAAGAGCGCGCTCTTGGCGGCCGCGCGCGAGCGTGCTAAGAGCGCACTGAATGAAAGAGCGGATCTCACTGCGTTTATGGATCTCCTCTATCAACGTATCGAGCGTGTCGCCTCGCAGGAACAGCTTCGAGAGGTGCAAGTTGAGTTGAGTCAAATTGAAGCATCGGTTTCACCTCCAAATTCTGGTTTGATTTCGGAGCAGGCGGGGGTGGAGACAACGCCAAAGATTCAATACCTGAATCCTCCATTCATTTCGGACGTGAATACGAGTGGATCTGAAATGGAAATGGAGAAGCCACCTTCATCGCCACCGCATACGGCATCTACCGTGATGATGGGGCCAGAGTTGCCGCCTTACTGGTACGTGGATGAGACAGGCCGGTCTCGGCCCCAGCCCGGTTTCGAGGAGAGACGTCGAAGGGAGCTTTTTTTGAATTATGAATTTAAGGCGCGAAAGGCATTCGAAGCCGTTCTTAATTACAAGCCACCTAAGACAACAGAAGAGCGCCTGCGTGAGGCTGTGTCACTTAACATTGACGAGACCCAGTTGGCTGAGTTGGAGCGCCAGCTTAACCAGCCCACGCCTGTGGTGAATATGATTCCACAACTACTTCACTTGGTACAAGAGAATTTGTTGCAAGCAGTGCCAGCCCGGTTACGGTATCGTCTGGAACAGCAGTTCCGCGATGCCCTAGACTGGAGCTGGATTATCAAACGGACTACGCGAAACCAACACGCAATGTCTCGTATCGTCCAATTCATTATTAACCACGTGGCTGCGTACGGGGCACCCGCACGAGAAGAGGAGCTTAAAGCCGAGTGCCAGAAAGTATGCCAGAATTTGGACCATCAGCACCCAGACTTGGGTACTGCGGTCTCGGAGGCATTCCGATTTCTTTTCCGATCTGTGCATACGCTTTGTCGGGATGTGGAGGAGTGTAGGTTGGGGATCATCGCCGGCGAGCTCCGAAATAACGCCGTCACGTATATTCGTGCCTTTATAGAGGAGTGGCTTCCCGCCCCTCGCCACTGGTACAGCTCCATCACGTTTTTACAAAAGTTTATAAATTCGCAGCCGGTGAAAGACTGGGCCGTGTCTCAAGCGGCCTGCTCATCCACCAGTCTCACAGGCGAGGAACGCCGACTGCGTGGAGCCTTGCGTTTCGGCGTAGTAGACCTCTTACGCAGTGGGGGCTGCAACAGCGCAGAACGTTGGGAGTTCTTGCCCGGTGAAATTTTTTACTTTGAGAAGTCAGTAATTTTTTCGTGCGCCAACACTGTACAAGAGTGCACTCTGCTGCTTTTACTTGAAGGCACCGCATCCGTTATGCTTTCTTCCAGAGGTTTCAACCACCAACAAGTGTCTGACGCCCTCAAGGCCTTACACGAGTTTTTTCTCGAGTTACTTACTCAGGATCTGAAGCTTAACACACTGAAGCAATCGGTCATCGACTTCCTTGAGACCAGACTCAGTGCAGGGCCTTTTGGCGAGTCCTCAACACAGAAGCCCATCACTTCCAACACATTGAGTGATGCCGAGAAAAATGTCTTGAATACTACAATCGATAAAATGACTGATACTAAGAGCTCGCTTTACATCACGTTTGAGCGGAAAGTTATCCATTACACAGAGTTAATTCTTTCTTCGACTTTGCCAAGCTCATTACCACCCATGGGTCTTGTTACAAATATCCTCCAAGGACAAATGGAGCTCCTAAGAAGTGCCTTAGCTTTCCATTGGGAAGTGTACCGTCCATACTATCAAACATTAAAGGATTTTTTAGTGTTTGAACCATAAGGACTCGCAGGGAAGATGCTAATGAAGTTTATATCACTTGTTGTCTTTGTCTTACACGTTGTTGTTCCTTTAAATGTTTTTTTATTTTCAATTCATTGATTAAGTGAAAGTGGCATAAAATACTGTTACACTTTATTAGAAATATAATTACTGGGGCATTTTTACTTTATGCTCAATTTGCCTATTTTACTACATTGTTATTATTATTATCAGTACTATTGTCATGTTTGTGCATCGCTTGAAGGGGTAAAATGACCTCTAATCTGCATTTCACTACAAGTACGGTGCGCACTTGACTGTATCCTCGGTAATCGTGAGAGTCACAACTGCAGACGATAATTTAATTCTTGTGGGTGATTTTCGTCGATTTCATGCTCCTTTTTTCCCTTTTCTACCCATTTTTTTTAAAAGCAAAACAAACGAAGAGGATAAAAGTAACCAAGTTTCGTTTCTTTGTCTTATACAAACTAGAGGATCTACATATTCTTAGGTCAGGGAGACAAAAAAGTCAAAAAAGGGAAAGTTGCCTTAGCAATGTACCCCAACATCAAAGCGTTGCACCGTTTTCTGGCGGACGCCAAGGTTGAAGAAAAAAATATTCCGCTCAGCAAAATGTCTCGCTTGCCGGATACAAACCAAGTTTCTTTGGTGTTTGATGGTAACAAAATTCTGGATGTCATTACGCAAGCTGTTCGTGAGAGCGATGGGGTTTCTGTATTCACGACCACGACTTCCTTAGCCCTGTATGAGCAGATAAGCTTGTTCTGTGAGCTGTCGACGGAGTGGTTGAAGACTCACTTTAAGCAGAAAGACATGGATTTCAAGGGTATTTTTACTTTTAACGGATGTGGGTTCACTCCTCATGTGGAGGTCAATCCAGTAGCACCAACAAAACCACCCGTGGAACTTCTCCAAAACGGGGTTCTCAATGAAGTCTTGACGGTCAAAGATCTTTCACCTGAGACAGTGAGACGGTGCGCTGCTAGGTTCTTTATTGAGGAAGATATAGAAGCCCGAATCGTGCGCATGTTTCACGAAAACTGCCCCGATACGTTTCGTGCACCGTATCTTGCATGGAGTCAGATATCAGCTTTTTTTGCCCCTGGTAACCAGTACGCGTCCGAGGTGTATGGTTGTGTAGAATTGCTAGCATTTCCAGGAATCGAACGTGTAGTTACTAACATCAATACAAAAACCCAAACATTTGATTGCATAAGCAAAGCAGCGCTTCTCGCTGCAGTGCGGAAAAGGTGCTTAGACTTTAGCGAAGAGGATCTTTCTAGTATTCTTCTTTTCGAGTCGAAGAACAGCCTTTTCTGCGTCAATGGAATGCCTGACATTTTCGATGACTTTTGCCGCTACGCATCATCGGAACACGGGTCACGAACTATGAACTTTTTGGTCTCTTCCACTCGCGTAAGGGAAGATGAGAAAAGGCTCCTGCGACGCAATCTGGCTGCATTGGACGCACCTGTTCTTATTAAGGATGGACGCTGTATGTACCTCTCGAAACTGTACAATAAAAAAAAGCAGAGCGATGTAACGGCTGAGTTTGGAAAGCGCCTTCCGTCCATATTTTATTACTTTATTTTTGGCGGTCCTGTCATGCCTGCATCGTACGCGTCACTAGGGCAGGGTACTTTCGTTGACAACTGGCCGCTAATCGATACCTCTACGTATCGTGGTATTGCTGAGAATATATTCCCGCTGCGTGTGCAAGTTGCCTTTCAGTTGTTCATCTACACGGGTTATCGTTCAAAGCTCCGCTGGTTACGGCAGTATATCTTATTTAAGTGCAAGGAAGACAACGACCGCCGCTGGTCGCCTATCGAGGACCCGCCGGAGATTGAATTGGTTTCATGGGTTGTTGAGCCAGATACGTTGCCCATGAACGAGGATAATAATGTTTTTCTGTCAGACATTTTGGTTTTTCAAGAGTCTGGGGTATTGGAAAAATTGGTGTATCCTGACATTCGAACGTCTCTCGCGGTTATTCTTTTAAAGTCTTTAGATTTGTTGGGTTACTTCACGCATTCGGCGGAGGGAATTGAGTTGAGTGGGTCGTCGATCTACAGTAAGGCATTGGAGAAGTTTAATTGTCCAACGCTAAGCGAGTATGGTGTTCTAGTGATTGAGCTAGTTCGAACACGTGCGCTTCATGGCAATCGCATTCCTCTAGTCATTCCGCATCAAAACGTACCAGACGATGGACAGCTAAAATGCGTGCGCTTTGCTGCTCGTTTACTCTCCGTCATCCCACTCAACCTCATGGCACCATGGTCAGGGCCGTTTGATCTCGAAATGGCTGCCTTTGGAACTTCGTCGCGTCTTGTCGGCCGGATGCTTCGGCTGCTCACGGAGGCGATAGCGGCACTTCTGTTCGCTACCAAATCTACCAACGTCCCACTGAGCCAGTTTGACGAGATTATCAAGCGTCTGCCGTTTGGCATTCCCGTAGAATTCAATGCTGGGTTTCTTATGACATACATTCTTACGAAGAAATGCTCTCTGGATGATCTCCGGCGTACGTTTCCCGAGTTATATAACCTTGAAGAGGATCTTCGAACGATCTTCTGGTTTTGGAAGATGGCTTCAGAGGCGTTAACCTTGATTTCCATGGAGGAGTCAGGATTAGTGGACTATTATCTTCTGTGTGATGCACACGACATGGTTAGCATGGCCTGTTGGCGACTGTGTCCCGAATTCTGGGACGAGGCATTTAGGCCAATGACGCAGGGAACTGGTTTTGAGTTTAATCGTATGCCTGAGGGTTTTTATGATTTGGGTTCTATGCCGATGAATCTGAGTTTGAACAATGGTAACTACTAGCAATTCTTGTTTGTTTTTTCCTTTCCCACGGTGAGCTTTGTGGAGGCTAGAAAGAGAGAACAACGAAGTGAGGGGAGGGGGGGGAGAGAGTGAGGGAAATGAATTCAACAAACCGATGGCATTCACGGGAATATTAAATGTTTTAGTTTTCTCAATTTGTCCGATTTTTTCAATAGATTTTTGTTTAACAGTTAATAGTATCGCTAACTATGTTTTCGCTTTTACTACCCTTTATTATGTTTTATTGCAGCTCTTGGTTTTTAATCGCACATGTAACGCGTCGGCGCATCTCTATTCTTTAGGAATATAATACTCGAAATGATGTGGAATGTTCATAAAGATGTAATAAGAGTTCATTCACCGCAACGCATTGAGTTTCTTTGTAGAGACAAAAAAAACACACTTTTTTTGAGCTCAGTGATACATTGTGCCATGCCTATCCCGCATATATTTATCTTTTCATTAAAATATCAATAGATTGTATACCCCTTTCCCCCTTCCCCACACAAAAATAAATAAAAAGAATACCCTGTAGGTATTCTGTTCTATAGTGGGACTTGCGTTTGTCACTTCCATGGAATTTTCTTACCGCCTTCGATTAGCTCTGTTTATAAACATGGTTATTCTATTGCTTGCCTATTGTGAAATTTGCGAGTACTTTTGAATTGGATGACTATTAATCCATTTAAAGAGAGGATTAATATGGTAGTAATGACTAACTAATTTGGTTCAGGGTATTTAATCAGGCTGAATACAATTGCTTTTATTAGTTAAAGTTCATTTTTTTTTGTAGGTTAACGTCTTGAGAATACTTATTCGATTTGTTGTCTATCTAAAAGAGTAGCAATTCTTTTTGGGGAATGTGAAAGTCTACCGAAACCAGCACAGAGAATTTTTTTTTTGCTGTGCTAGTCTTTTGCTTTTTTAGCTGAGCTTTTTGATTTATATTACCCAATATGTCCTTTATCGTTTTGTTAGGTACAATTCATAATAACTGTTGCATTCAGTTTTTACATTTCAGGTTGTCTCTTTCTTTTTCGTGAGCCAAAACTGTAGATTATCTTTGATTTCCTTAGCGTTGTTTTCGTGCTAAAGGATAAAACCGAAAGGCATCTTATCGTGTTCAGTTCAATGATTTTCTCCTTTCCTTGCGTATTTTTGAGCTTGGTTTAGTGAAAGGTGTTTTTTTTTTGTTTCTTCCTTCTCCCGACGTTGAATGGAAAGACATATTAAAAAAAGGTTACTTGGGAAGGCATAGATACGACAATATATACTAACTATCATCTAATGCACCAGGGTACACTCACTTCCTTTTTTATGCGTAAGCGAGGTAGAGAGGGGGTAGATGTTGAAGCTTTCTCTGAAAAATTTAAACAGGCAAATAATGATCTAGCATCGAAAGCATCCTGTAGTGATACGGGATCTGTACCTCAAGAGCCACTTGACGTCGATGTTGGCAGGTTTTATAATGATTTTGAAAAACACAGGGAGGATTTCCAGCGCTTTCTGGACTCAGCTGAAAAGTCAAGCGCACCCAACATGGCCAAGCTGTTTCAAGGTGATCCCTTTAATCCGTTGGATGGCATGCTAGAATTGTGGCCCCGTTTGCCTGAAAAAAACGACTTCTCTAGGCCCTCAATACAGCCAGCTGCTGTGTCATCGGTGCCCTACTCCGTTGTTGTCGATACCTTGGTGGACATTAGCAGCACGAGCTCTCGGCTCGAATGTGTGAAGCTTCTGACACGACTTTTCCAAACCGTTATCGCGCGCTCTCCGGACGACCTGGTCGCGGTGATTTATTTAGTCATAAACAAGCAGGCCCCACAGCATCAGGGCGTTGAACTTGGCATTGGTGATGCGGTACTGGTTAAGGTAGTGGCGGACTGCTGTGGTATGACAGAGGCGAGAGTGAGAGAGGAGTACAGACGCACTGGGGACTTGGCTGAGATCGCCCAAGATAACAAGCAAAAACAGGCGACTCTCATGACCCCAACACCACTTTCAGCGCGTGACGTCTTCAATGCTTTTTTCGAAATTGCTATCATGAGTGGAAAGGACACGATGCGACGACGAGCAGACATCATTAAACGGCTCCTTCGAAATGCACAAGGTCCTGAGATCAACCTGATCGTACGATCACTGCAGCAAAAGATGCGTATAGGTTTGGCCGAGTTGTCAGCCTTGACAGCCGTCGGCTATGCCTTTGCGCTAAACTTTTTAGGCCCGCAAGCGGAAATCATGCGACCTGAAGAACTGCAAACTGCTCTCAATGCGAGCTCGGGCAGTTTTTGTCGTTTTTTCTTCGAGGTTCCGAGCTTGGACATTGTTGTAGCGACCGTATTGCACCACGGTTTTATGCTACTTCTGCCTGGAACGAGTGTTGCGGTCGCTCACGCCAAGGAGTTGTCAATTCGTCCAGGATTACCCGTGAAACCGCAGTTGGCGCACCCAACAGCCGGTATCAGTGTTATTTTAGACCGTCTTCAGGGAAAGTCCTTCACAACGGAGTACAAATACGACGGTGAGCGTGCGCAAATTCACTATCAGAGAGAGAAAGGCTATCAAATATTCTCCCGGAATTCCGAGAATCATACGGGTAAGTATCCTGACGTCATTTCGATGCTCCCTAGTGCGTTTGATGCAGCTCGAGTGGAATCCTTTATCATCGATTCGGAGGTAGTGGCTGTGAGTCCGGAGACGGGGGCCTTACAAGCTTTCCAGGTGCTACAGCACCGAGGGCGCAAAAATATCTTAGAGAAAGATGTCAAGATTCCTGTGTGTGTTTTTGTCTTCGATATTCTCTATTTTAATGGAGAATCACAATTGCACAAATCACTGCAGGAGCGAAGGGCTCTTCTCTGGCAAAACTTTATACCTATCGAGCGAAGGATGAGCTTTGCCACTTATCTGGACAGCGACAATGTGGAGGATATGCAAAAGTTTCTCGAGAAATCCATCGCGGATGGTTGTGAAGGTCTCATGATTAAGACTCTCCTAGATGATGCCACTTACATTCCCGCCAAGCGGTCGCACTCCTGGCTGAAATTGAAAAAGGACTACATGGACGGCGTCACCGACACATTAGATCTTGTTCCCATTGCAGCATACTACGGCAAGGGAAAACGCACTGGGGTTTATGGTGGTTTCCTCTTAGCCTGCTACGATAGCGAATCGGACGAGTATCAAAGCATTTGCAAGATCGGCACCGGTTTCCAGGAATCAGAGCTCGAGGGACTCACACAATCGCTTCAGTCTTCCGTAGTCATGGAGAAGCCAGGCTATTATCGCGCTAATGGTGCTGACGTGGATGTTTGGCTTCGGGAGTTGCAGGTCTGGGAGGTCAAAGCTGCTGATTTGTCCATTTCGCCTGCGCATTTTGCTGCCATCGGTTTAATCGATCCCGATCGTGGCGTCGCCTTGAGGTTTCCACGCTTTCTACGCGTGAGGGAGGACAAGAAGCCCACAGATTGCACTTCTGCGCAACAGGTGGCTGACATGTACAGATCTCAATCTTTGGCGATCCAAAAGGAGAAAAAGTACGACCCTGATGAGTACTAACAAGTAAATCGCCAATTTTTTAGAGATCTTTTAACACTGTGCGTGTCCATGTGTGGGTAATGCGAAATAGGAAAAAGTGAAAATGGGTTCTGGATATTCTTGTTCTGTCCGTTCAATCTCCTGAAAGCAAGCTACTTCTTATTTGTCCTCTTTCCTGATCCCTTAGTCTGTTCCAATTGCTCCCCTACATATTTAATCCTTCCTTTAATGCTATTGCTAAGTTAGAACAAGGCAGTCCCGAATCATCCTTGTTCAGGACCCTTTCTTTCTATGGGTGCTATATTTTCGTTAGTTTCTAGTAGGCTACCGTTTAAGCGGCCAAGGGGTGAAGAGGGAATCACTTCTTCACGTGCTTTGCTCAAGGCCCATGAGGCGGAAGAAAGGGCTACGGTTTCCAAAATAGGGCGATCGTTTTTTTCCACCTGCGAGAACGAGACAGATCCATCGCACGCTTTTTTGTTGCGCCTGCGATGCCGTGGCAGAGTTGATGCAGGTCGCACATTATGCCATTGTGTTGTAGGTGGTCCCTCAGTTGAGCTCACCTACGGCTGTCATTTTCACCTGTACGAAACGCCTGATGCGGGCGATTCCCACGGAACGGCGCTGTGCTGGTCTCTGAAACGATCCGTTCTATCCGCTGCAGCGTTGGTGGTGCTGGGCCGAGTCGCGAACAGTTGCCGAAAGAAAATGGTTGTCGTCGATGGGAAGGGAATGGGTATTGTTTTGAAGTATACTACCATTGTTTGAAGATATTAATAAAGGAAGGCCTTTCATGGTGTTTTTTTTCCATGTGTGAGGGGATTTCTTGTAGGTCGTGTCTTTTATGTTCGTATTTAATAGAGTGCTATTTTATCTTTTTGGACTATTTTTTACTCTCACATCAAAGTCAATAATGACTACTGCTACATCAGCATCTTTAGACGCGTTAGAGAAGGAGCTTGAAGTCCTAGAAAGAGTAAAGGTGTTTGATGAAAATATAAAGGGTGGGTCGGAACGCATCCTACAAGCGTTGCCATCCCTTGAAGAAGAGAAGCACACGGATACCAAAGTGCGGATACTTCTTCTCCGCAGCCGGGCACGGCTTCTTCTTCCTTGCGTTTCAAAGGAGGCTGAGAGGGACATTCAAACAGCGTTAAAGCTTAAACAATGTTCCATAAACACCTGGTTAGTTCTGAGCGAATGCTATCTGCGGCGTAACGCCTTTAAGGAGGCTTGTGACGCCTTGGATAACGCTTTGCTGATGGATTCCAGCAACGCTGAAGCTTTGTGCAGGTACAGTCAAGTGCAGCGCAACCGATGCAGCGAAAAGGGTGTAACAGAAGCTCAAAGGTTGGTATTCTTGTCGGATGCCGTAGCGAAATCCCACAAAGCGGTGCAGGCCAACATTGACAACCCTGATGCTTGGAACTCTCTCTCTCTTTCGCTGCTTTCCAAAGCGGTAGCTGGGCGAGTTTCTTATGACGCCATACGAAAGGCGTTGTCTGCTATTCAGCAGGCTATCAAGCGTGCTCAGGATGATCCAGATCTGCACTACAATAAAGGTGTACTCGAATGTTTGTCAGGTCATTTTGGGACAGCAGCAGCGGAGGCCCTTCGCGCAAATGAGCTGGATGGCCATCGACTTAAGGATGCAAAGCGTTTATGTGAGCAAAACGTTGATATCCTTCGAAAAGCAATCAGCTGTGGCAAAATTTTGAAGACCATGAGGAAACGTGATCTTAAAAAGTTTCTAGCAAGCATCTCGGCAACAGTTAAGCGTCGTGCCAGTCACAAAGCCACCACAGAGTCATCCTGGATGGATGTGGCGGTGGTTGAGGTGCTAAGTGATTCCACAATGCAACCTTTGGCGATCTTAGCTGTAAATGAAGGGTCCGACTTATTCACAATCTTACTGTATGAATTAAGCAGCTCATGCGTTAAAATTGGTGACATCGTTTCATTCCCAGCAACCAGTCAGCATATGGCGATTTCACACGAAGTCCCAGCAATTCCGTTCTTGCAGCTTGATGGGTTTTCGACGTCTATGGTTCACTATTATCCGTTTTTGGAGGCCACATTGATTAATGAAAAGCCTATTCCAATAAAAAATCGTGTTCCTGTGCAGATGTGTTCTCGTCTTTTTGCTTAGGGTAGATCCATTTTCAGACGGGGAAGTTCATCACTGTGTTGGTTAATTGGCATTACTAAATCAGTATATACGTGCTAATTAGGAATTAGTTCAATTAGCGACAGTTTTCTACATTATAAGAATATATAATGCAGTGTTTATGTATTTACCTACTAATTGAACCTGGAAGAGCGTGAGGCGTGATGGAAGGGGGGATGGCGGGAAGTGAAGTAAGCAGGATGAAAGTCTACAACAACGCTTTTAGGTAGCTTTAATAATCCTGGAAGGGATGGCTTGGCGTAGTGACGGTCCTCTCTCCTTCTCAATTTCGTCTAGAATTCCGTGTGCCCCTTTTCCATGGCGTGTTGCTGCAGGAGCACGGAAGGATAAGGGGAGGCAAAGGTTGTGTTTGGATTCCCCTTTCAAGAGTATTTAACTTGGAATTTCCGAGTACTATATGCATGTCGTAAGTGGGAAAGAACATATTTCTGAGTTGCTCAATTCATACGGGAATTTGTGGAAGCAGTATATAAGTGGTTGGGCGACTCAGGATGGCTGTAAGCAACCTTTGAGCCGCTTATGCGAGTTTATAGAGTGTCGCTAATTGCGTCAGAATGAGGAATTTTGTCTTTTCATGCCACTGGTCTCATCACCCTACAGACGGGGGTGGTTTCCATGAGACAGTCTCATAAGCACTCTAGCTTTTTAAATTTAATCCTTTACAATTGCTGGTATTTATACTAAAGGAAAAGTGAATACAAATGAGTCAAGTCAATATAAGTATGAATTGTTCTGCTATGGACGGTTATAAAATACTTATCACACCTGGGTTCAGTAGGATCAAACTTCAAAGGATTATTTTCTAGAGTAAAGTGGAGTCTGAAAATGGTAAGGCGATATCGAACACAGCTAGTTAGTGAGCCAAACGACACTGGCTACGGCTGCGCGTTTTGCAGCACGCATCTTTGCCTGGCTTCAGATGTGTTATCTCGTACTTTTCATGGAAAACACGGCAAGGCATTTCTTGTCAATCGTTGTGAAAATTACTATGTTGGGCCTCAAGAACAAAAGGAGCTAATAACTGGCACACACATTGTCCGCGATGTTTTTTGTACTTTCTGTGACAAAAATATTGGCTGGTGCTATGACTTTGCGCTCGATGAGCAAGAGCGTTATAAAGTTCATCGCTTTGTTCTGGAGAACAAACTAGTACGAGCTATAAACTCCAGCCCCAGATATGGATACCTTGGCATAAAGCCCCCGCAGCAAGACAGCCATAGACTTTTGATTGTGAGCGAATAGTATTCGGGATTCCATCCGTCCGGCTGCAGTTCAAGGTTCTAAGATTTACACACCAGTCCATACAAGGTGATCTGAAAAACTGGTGTTATGGTTTAAAGTGACGACGTAGACAAGCTCGTATCGAGCGACTAGGATATTGTTGGTTCTATCAAACAGTGTATTTAGCTGTTTTTTAAATAATTTCTGTTTTTTTTTTATGGTGAAGTGTGGTCCTTTATCGTGCTTTCAGGATTGAGCACTTCGGGTTAAGGACAGAAGTGCTTAGTGCGTGTGGCCTTCCTTCGAAGAGTGGGGTTTTGGGACGGTGCGCATGGAAGAAAGGTCAGAATCAAAGCTGCATCTGTGAGACCTGGCATGAAGCGTTTTTTGTCAATGATCCTTCAGTTCTCTATACTGCGCTGCAGGGGTTATTCACTGCTGCGCCAATCACGTTTGCTACTGAGACGAGTGCCCTCCAGCGGCCAATATTATGGGACGTACGAGTTCAAAAAATGTTGTATCTAGAGTGGAATGGGGAGTAAATGACTCTGATAGTGCCGCAATTCTAGTAAGATGTTTCTTTCTTTCACTTCTTTCTTGCTATTTCTCAGTTTTTCTACTATTACCTTCTCAGATATCTGCTAATCATGTGTTTTAGAACGATTTGGTCAAAGAGAGGATGGCGAGAGAGGCCATGGATAATGTCAAAGCATTTATAAAAGACAAACGAGGAATTTTTGATCTAAGCCATTTTTCTTCTGTTTTCCGTTTTTCCTCTGAAAAAAGTATGAGGATATGATTTTTTTTTTCTAGTAAGAGATTTAGGAGAGCTTGTTATTTATTCATTTTGTACTACCTTTTCTCTTGGCAACATAGATTCTGGTTTTCTTCTAAACTTTTTTGATTAGCAAAAAACGTTGTTCCTTTTCTTACTCTGTGAAAAGCTAAAGGACAACCGATGCCCCTTCCCAAGCAATGGAAGGCAACCCCTGGCTGTGAAAATGGCACACTAAATTTGATTTTAAAGGATCGGTTTCTTGTTCAGAGTCGCATTGGAAGGGGTTCCTTTGGTGATGTGTACAGAGGAAGAGACCTGAACACAAACGCAAGTGTTGCTATTAAGATTGAGCGTATGAAAAGTTCTGATATCTGTCATTTGTATCTAGAGAAGGACATATACAGAAGTTTAAATATATCCCCTGTGACGGTTGGTATTCCGAATATTTATTACTATGGAGTGCTAGAAAATTATGCGATACTGGTAATCGATCTGCTAGGTCCTAGTTTGGAGGAAATATTTGAATTATGCAATCATGAGTTCAGCATAAAGACTGTTTGCATGCTGGGCGTCCAAATCTTCCAGCGGCTGGAGTACATCCACAAGGTCGGCCTCATATACCGCGACATTAAACCAGATAACTTTGTTATGGGATTGGGCCCGTGTTCGCATATCGTGTACGCCATTGACATGGGCCTTTCAAAGTCTTGGCGTACTCCTTCTGGAAAGCACATACCTTTTGTCGACGGCAAGTCTCTTACAGGCACCGCGCGATATGTAAGCATCCATACACATAATGGCATTGAGCAATCTCGCCGTGATGATGTCGAGTCGGCCGCTTATTTGATCATGTACTTTCTCCGCGGTGAATTGCCTTGGCAGGGAGTGAAGTGTAGTGGCGATCCGAATTACAAGAAGATAGGGGCTGCGAAGGTATTGAACACTGGTGCAAAACTTGCAAATGGCTACCCAAAGCAATTTGCCGAACTCGTGAATCGGGTGCGTAAGCTCGAGTTTGAGGAAGAACCACACTACAACTTGTACATTTCACTTTTATTAAGTGTAATGAAGCAAATTTCGGAGAATTTCGATTATAATTATTCGTGGAGTAGAATGGCTTCTGTTGTATAGCCCAGAGACTTAGAAAAAAAAATCAATGGGCACAACATTGCAGAAGTTTAAGTCAAAAAGTGTGAGGAGGGGAGTGCACCATGTGCCCTTAGGACTGCCGATGTTGTATGCTCTCGTTAACGAAGCTCATCTATGTTTTTGTGTTTGATAAGTTTCTGCCTTTTTTTGAAGTCGATAAATTATTTACAGAATCTGTGTCATTCTTTAAGCACTGTGCCAAACTTTGGTATTTGAAGAATAGCGACGAAGATGTGAGATAGCCCGTGGACTATTGCTTTCCTTCAGTGCTTTTTTGACCTCATGAAGACCATGCAATGACAAAGTGCAATCGAAAACAATAATGTCTGTGGCTCGGCTGCATTCCGTATTTCAACAAAAAGGTTGTCCTGCGTTTCACTATGGATCTCATTTTTTACTTATTTTTCCGATTCTATACAGTTGGTTTATCAGCATTCACAACGCTACATACTGACTTATGCACTTAGCTTTTCCCTTGTATATATATCTATATATGTACATCCATAAGGATGTTCACCCTACGGGGCGAGCATAGTAGCCACACTGAATGAAGAGGAAGGAAAATTTGACAGTATTATTTCGCTCTTGTTTCTAACACTGCAGTACCATTATTGTTGTCTCCTGAAAAAATGACCTGTGGAGGGCTTATTGTGTACTCATTCTAAAAATAAAAGCACTTAGTGAGGTAGATAAGTAGAAAAGGTTGGCAGTCTTTTTTTTTATTAGGGCTAGATTTTAACCTTAGAGCTTCAACATTGGTATTTTTTTTAATTTCAAATGTATTTGCATTTTAGTGTTATGTCCTCTGAAAAGCGCTATACGCACGTCAGAACAAAACATTAACGCTTGGTGTTGGTGTTAAACAATTGACTTTTTTAATTTTTTTTGAAGTAACGTGTTTTACGTGCTTTTGTTATTTATCGTACTCAAAATAGTACCCTGAATATGATTTTTTCCCGTTGCGTCTTGCGTAAGTGCTTTAGAAATTCTGACGAAAAACGCATGTTTCCTGTCATTGTAATTTTCATTTCTACTCCCCACTAATGTAAAGAAAGAATATCAATTGCTTTTGTTCTCTATTCGTGTGTATCACGTGAGTATTGCTAAAGTTAATCCGCGTGGAAATGGTTTTTATTTATTTACTTAATCCCTTTTCTGAATGTGAGAATATTTTTTGCTGTATATATATATATATATATAGTTTTACAGACTATACATACTGCCCAGCTTGCTTTTAGGTATTTTTTCCCTCCGATTTGTGAAATACATCCGTTTCTTGGCTCACCGAATTCACATATTTTGTTGAATTTTCAAAAACATGGTCGATTTAAACTAGAAACATTTTCCCAATGCCTCTTAGACAACACATGAAGCAGTGTGAAAAGTTTGTGCAGTGGATTGCTTGTGATTTTACACGACACAAAAGGGGTTTGCCGCCTTTATGAGATATACCTTACTTGACACCTTTGCCACATGTTTGTACTTGATAAGGTGAACTTATTTTCTGAAGATAGCTAAAACTTTTTTTCCAAATAAATAGACTAGTTATAAGATGGAAGAGACCGTTTGGACACCTCAAATTGTTGAGGAGCTGTTGTTCCGCCAATTCATCAAAAATGAAGATATTTCACAGCTGCTGCCACCTCCCCCCAAATTTTCGAATGAAAATTTCTTAGAGCAGTATGATCAGGCTACTAAAATGCTTTTCAGCTACGTGCGTAGTGGGCCCACCACGGCGTTGTCTCCACAGAATGTCAACACTGCCGCAGGCAAGCACTACCACATGACACCGAGTAAGCCCTTCATGGGAAGTCGTACCCCAACACCCAAGCCAGCCATGGAAGTGCAGCGTATTCACGCACAAATGCCCATTGTTGACCTTGGGAGTACACCTTACGCACCAAAAGTGGCATCTTCACCAACGCCACCTCAGCATAAACGCGCGAAGGTTGAGTGGCCTGCCAGTGTACCAACGAACAACATGTTGAAGAGTAATAGCCGGTCCAAAGTGGCTCCACTAACGGTGAAGAGGGTGGCGGCGCAGCAGTCTGTGGATCCGGACTTGATCTTCAACCAAAATACTGAAGAACTTCCTTTGAGTATCATTTTCGCCCAGTATCCAAAGGCCTTGAAATCTATCTCAGCCGTCCGAAACGCAAGCGGTGACTGGCGTGCCGATACCTTTACACAGGAGGAAGAACAACTCTACAAAAGAGAGCTGGGGTTTGAATTCCTCGGTCCTAGTCAGTGCTCTTATAAAAAAAGTGTACTTACGAAGCGCTAAAAAAATTACAATCCGATTGCATTTCCTTACGTTGTAGATTCAATTTTTTACACTTTTATTTTTCCCTCATGTGCTAGATTTTTTTTCAGACTTTCAGGTGCGTGTATGTGCGAGGACAACAAACATCGTAAAATGTGTAGACGATCGAAGTGTCGAGGCATTAAAAATGTGTCCAATAATTACTACTTTTTTTTTTGCACAAGACTGATCTCACAGATCCATTTCTTGACCTAATTTGAGGTTCTAAAGGAAGGGTTTAGGCAAGCTGTGTTTATGAGATATTCCCATGGGACGCTAATATGGGTCAAGTGCGATGATGGTTGCTGGTGGCCCGCTAAGGTCAGGGATGTGGAGACGGAAATTATTCGCCTTCTGGACGAACCGGTCGCATTTTGTGTGGGATTTTATCATGATCCAAACCAGCTTTACCCAATTCTCTCATCTGATCTGCATTGCATACACCTTTTCCATGCTGATTTTTCATCCCGTTCCCCGGAAGAACGCCCTTGGTTTAACAACCCGACCACGCGCCGTGCTGTAGATCAGGCACTCAGAGACGCTGGTGCTTCGTTAAATGCCTCGGAAAGGCAGAATACAACGCAAGGTATCCCAGACAATATTGATGATCCTCTTAGACTACGTGGACAGATGAACGAGGGGTTGGAAACACCACTTTCCATCGATGAGTTGCGAAACATTCAGTTGTTAATTTCTGCCGTTGGTGGCGAAACCGCTAATCAACTCCGTGCAACACTTGCTCGCAATGGGTTTGAGATTCCTACGCGTAAGGTTAAGCGGCGACAGCGACAGGAGCTAACGATGCGGAGGTCATCCCGGCCCAGGATAACCACCCCACCACGGCGTGTTAAGCCCACGCCCCCTTGTGAGGCGGTGACTGCCGCTTCAGTGATGTCCGGGTGCCGCCTTGTCGAAGATGACCTGGAACCTCAACCTGACAAGACTATTAACTTTTCTGCAGGCGACGTTGCGCCTGTGGTAGCCAGGATGACAGACCACGGATCCGAGGTCAGACAAAGGGGAACGCGTGAAAAGAGTAACGCGCGGTTTGTAGTCCCACTCAGCTCAGATGTGTTGAATGTATTACGAAGCGAGGTGTTTGAGAATTCAATGCGATTTGTGCTCTCGCCTGTGTTCCGCTTTATTGAACTTTTAGGTGCTGTTGAGGTAGACACTGAGCCTGTAGTGTGTAGGCTGCCCTCTCCAAGGGCACTTCGCGAGACACCTCCAGATGGTTTTGCCTCCAACCGTCACGTTTTATTGGTGCCTCTGACAAAGGAAAACTATCTTCACACCAGCGGTTGGATGGTTCCTGTGGTTGTGGACGGGAAAAATTTGGCCATGATTCTCAAGGTTAACGGTGTGGTCACACCAACCCCTCCGAATTGGAACCTTGCACCTGGAAAGGAAGCGAACGCCATCAAGACTTCTCCAGTTGCGGACATTACGCATTTGGTCATGTCTCAGGAGGATGACCTTTTTGTTCTTGAGATAGGCTTCACATGGATTCCAGACGACACCTTTCTGTGGTCTGGCATTGTGGCTTGCATATTCGTAGAGAAGATTCCATTGGATACAATCAGTCGGCAGATTGTGGGAAATTACTGTGGGGATGCTAGTGTAGGCACTGCATTTGCTCGTGATGGACCCGTTACCTGTGATGCGGTGCGGGTCACTGAAGTAAGCGTAAAGGTGAAGTGCCCCTTGACATCACTTCCCATGGTAATACCAGCCCGCACGCTTACATGTGCACACATGCAATGTATGGAGCTCGAGACAATCCTGGTACGGTTCACACAAAGTAATCTTTGGAATTGTCCCCTATGTGGAGCACCATCACGACTTCACGAGATACGTGTAAATTATAGACTGAAGGAATGGTTGGATACCCACCGCAACGAAATAGACCGCGTCGATTACATTATAGAAACCCCCTTAGGTAGTCAACTGAGATTACAATGGCGTGAGGAGGATGTTAAAGAGACATATTTTATTGAAGACTAATATATTTACACTTGGAAAGCTATTGGGATCTATTTTTGCATTGCCGTAAAAAGATGAGTAATGCATTGAATTGGATTAATTATTTTCTTACTAAAATGTGTACAGTTTAGGCATGGTCGGATATATCTCTTTCTAAAGAAGGGTAAAGAGAGCCAGTAAATAGCTTAAATGATATAAAAATAATTTTAATGTTCTTCAACAAATTCTGAAGATAATACCTTAATTTATATTCATTATATAGATTAAATAATAAAGCTTTTAAAAAAAATCATTTTAAGATAAAAAATAGCACCTAAGCTAAGTAATATCCGTAATTTATTACTTCTACAAAAACACATATTAAAAATAATATGTCAGTTCACAACATTACGTTCTCTTCCGAGCATGTTTCTGAGGGTCACCCAGACAAGCTTTGCGATCAAATCTCCGACGCTATCCTCGACGCGTGCTTGACCCAGGATCCGTTTTCCAAGGTGGCGTGTGAAACGTGTTCGAAGACGGGGATGGTAATGGTGTTCGGCGAGATCACCACTAAGGCGGTGCTGGACTACCAGAAGATCGTGCGCGACACGGTTTGCGAGGTTGGGTTTGACGATGCTGCCAAGGGCCTGGATTATAAGTCGTGCAATGTGCTGGTTGCGATCGAGCAGCAATCACCGGACATCACACAAGGTCTTGGGGACTTCGATGGGGAGGATCTGGGGGCTGGGGATCAGGGGATGATGTTTGGCTATGCCACAGACGAGACTGAGACCCTGATGCCGCTGAGCTATGAGCTTGCTCGTGGCCTGGCCCAGAAGTACAGCGAGCTTCGGCGCAACGGCACGCTGGAGTGGGCTCGCCCTGACGCCAAGACCCAGGTAACCGTGCAGTACGAGTATGACTCGCGGGGTGGCAAGCAGCTGCTTACGCCGCAGAGTGTATCAGCCGTACTGATTTCGGCGCAACACGATGAGCTCGTGAGCAACGAGAAGATTCGTCACGACTTGATGGAGAAGGTGATCAGGGACGTGATTCCGGCAAGGCTGCTGAACGACCAGACTAAGTACTGGCTGAACCCATCAGGAAGGTTCGTGATTGGGGGCCCGCACGGTGACGCCGGGCTCACAGGACGAAAGATCATTGTGGATACATATGGTGGGTGGGGCGCGCATGGTGGCGGTGCCTTCTCTGGCAAGGACCCCTCGAAGGTGGACCGCTCCGCGGCGTATGCTGCGCGGTGGATCGCCAAGTCGGTGGTCTCCAGCGGTCTGGCGCGGCGCTGCCTGGTACAGCTGGCATACGCGATTGGCGTAGCAGAGCCGTTGAGTATATTTGTGGAGACGTACGGGACAGGCAAGTACGATGACAAGAGAATTCTTGAGATCGTAGAGAAGAACTTTAAACTTCGACCGTATGATATTATCAGGTCACTTGATTTGCGTCGCCCGATCTACCGCGCGACGTCTCGTTTTGGCCACTTTGGCCGCACAGACACCACTGGGAATGGCGGCTTCTCATGGGAGGTTCCGAAGAAGCTCGTCGAATAAATTGCATAATGCTTTGTGCTGGCGGTGCTTGTGTTAAGTGATCCTATATATTATATGCTTTGTTTCCCTGGCTCGAATTTTAATGGTAAGCTTGCGAAATCGGAAAACATTTGAGACCCGTAAGCTTTCCTTTTTTGACTGCGGTACTATAATTGGTAACAATTTAGCTGTATTTTACATTTAATTGGTACTAGCAGTAGTAGGAGTGTTTCCACATTAGCATCTGTTTGTGGGAGCATCATAAAATATATATTTGGTAAGAAACATAATTCAAAGGGTTAAATTGTTGTTACATTCTTTCTTCTGTAATTGATAGTAGTGATAATACATATCTATATCTATATATATATGTATAAGTTTGAGTTAATTTCCCATAATTTTTAGAGGTATGCGCGTTGGATTTAGTGTGGAGTGCTCAGATAAGGAGCTTCTTCCTCCAGCTATGTGCTTCTTTATCTATGCGCTCTTTTCTTTTTGCTCTCTTCATACCCTGTGTTAGCCAGCATTCTAGTAATAATTTTTCGAAGCATTCCAAG